CTTTCTTTCTTTCTTTCTTTCTTTCTTTCTTTCTTTCTTTCTTTCTTTTATTTCCCATGTCCTGAATAACTGAGTATCTACAGAAATACAGTATATGATAGTAACGTCTGTCTCGGCATCAATAAAGTTACTGGATCAATACTTTAGTGAGTAGTAAGTCAGCACACAACTTTGTTCCAYAAATACATGCTGTATCAGAGCAGCCAGTCAAAGGCAGGTTCAAATGTCAACAGTGAAGAAAAACAAGCATGTCAGATAATTATTTAATCAGCTCTGATTGCACAACAATTTCAGAATGTTTAGTTACTTCTGTAAACAGCAAGCTGAATGTGACGTTGCGTCATTTTCTGCAAGTGTGAGTGGGATCAGTRAGAGTTCACACTGAAGACTSATGGAGGTTGAATTTAAAATATAATGTGAACGTCCATTGAGCATTCAGACCTGCAGTGTGAATGTAGGCTTAGAAYACCTTTATTTATTGAACATATGTATTAGATTGTGTTGCAAATGAAACCAGTGGATTTTGGTAAATATTTAACTGGATTCAGTTTCATGTCTATTCCTGTTCATAAGTCTGCAAATGCAAGTTTTTTTTTCTTTTAGTTCAGAGATGGGCTGCACAATGGTGCAGATAGTAGAGCTGTTGCCTCTCAGTGAGAAGGTTGCAGGATAGAATCATTGTTTGATATCTTTATAGGTAGATTTTTCTTGTTCTCCCCATACGTGTGTGGGTTTTCTCCAGGTGCTTTGTTTTTCCGCCACAGACACAAAGCATTAGCCTGGCCCTTGCCTTCCAATGCAGTTCTGCTCAATTCTAGTTTCCCTTCACTGCTTCATCTGAGATTTCTCTCATAGACAAGGATTTCTTCGGGAGCATTTTGTCTGGGCCAATCAGCGAACACAACATCGATTTTCTGYGCTGTGTCAGCTTGTAGTTTATTTTACCTGGGCCAATCAGCAAACAGAAGGCGGAGTTTTGATCGACGTCAATTTTCTGCGCAGTGTCTGCTAGTTAGTTTAGCATATGGCAGTGGAGGAAGTGAATGAAGCCAGTCTGTGTTGAAAAGGCTTCCAAATTAAATTAAACTTGTCTGACAAAGCAGCAGCTCTCATTTACAGTTGTCTCATTTGGCTCGGTACTTTTCTCCTCTCAGTAGGGTTGTTTACAGCGCACACTATTTCCGGTTAGCTTCTTAGCTTAGCCTCCTTCACAGTGGAGCTAGCTAGCACTTGCGGCCAACCGATCCAATCATTTTAAACTTCAACAGAGGCCACGCCTCCAGCAAGAATCGCTTTCTATAGCCGAGGTTCCAGACCCTCTTCCGAAGCAAAGTGAAGGACAAGGGTCTGGTTTTTACCAGGCTACCAAATCATGCATGTTAGGACTTGGTCCAAGCTGTCTCTAGGTGAGAGTTTGAATGTTTGTTATCTCCAACTCTGTGAAAGGATTGCGATCGGAAGGTGTACCTGGYCCGTTGATCAGACTGTGGGAGGTAAGCCCCGCCAAGCCCTTGCCACCCAGGAAGGAAGAAGTGGGTAAACATATTGGATATAAGTACAGTGTTGAGTCCTCCTCAGCATGGTACAGCAAAGCACTGTCCAGTTCAAGACTCCAGAGAAATCAAAGTACACAAATTGTCCAACTGGACACAGTCCACCTGGCCCCGAAGTAGCTGCCACCCAGACTTTCCTTTTTGGAGTTTATTTCCATGGAAACGTTCCTGAATCCAAGACCGATGTTTCAGCATAATTTGTGTCCGTGGAGGCGTGTTTTCTCTTGTTGTTTTCTTAAGTCTTTTGGCCTATGAAAGGTTTTATTTTTTTCTGCCTGATTTACATCTCAAGAGCCCTTGTGTCCCTCTGCAGCATGAAGGAATCCTCTGAGATAGTTCAATCCAAAGAATCTTTCTGCTGCCAGGCCTCTCAGTGAAGGAGCATAACTGTTGGCCTGTTAGTCTGTTCCTATAGACTGACTGCATAGCTCACTATACTGTGCATTCTCTATTTATTCAAGTTATTTGGTATTTAAATAAATGAAAAATAATAAAGGAAAATTTTGCTGTATTTTTAAACATTTGTTTTTATTATGACATTTTTATGAGCATGCTGGTGCATGTTATTTTGGTCTTAGTGGAAGACGAGTACCCTGATCTAAACAGCAGACTCATCTAGAAATTTTTCTTAACGCTTTATTCATTTTTGCAAGAACAAAGGTACACAACAAAACTACAATTATGCACTGTTCAGTTCTTGATGAGTTAATTTAGAAAGAATTGTCTTTCTTCTTACCATTTTTTAATCAATCTGCCAAAGCTGCTCTAAATGTTTTGCATAATTTTAACTTTTTTGTCATTTTTTCACTTTTGTCTTTGTCTTATTTTRCTCTTGTTGTGTTGAAAACAAAATTGCTTCTCACTACTTTTATTTATTTTTTTTACTCTGTGTAGGGCAAGCATTGTGCAGAAAAGGATAATTTATTTCCAGGATGAAGGTGCACTCACAAAACGAATGTGTGAGAAAGGTAGGCTTCGCCAATTGACATGGACTCTGTGATTTATCATAAATTTCCATTTTCTTCAGTCTCGCCTTGTATTTCACCWTCCCCACTATCTCTTTTGTTGTTTTGATTCACTTTGTTTTTCTTGATTCTGGATTTTGATTCAGTAGCATTCCTTTCTGTTGTTGTGCTCTAGCATGTGAATGCTTGTGAAAGAGTGTGACCCTCCAGGCTGTACATGTCAGTGGATGCCACACGGCAACAGAACAGAAAACAAAAATGCTTTACGCCTTCTTTCTTTCTTAACCCTTGATGTTCTGTATGATCGGCATCTCTTACATCTCCCCATTTTAATAAGTAATAAGTAATTTAACTGTGCATACTGTGCATATCACATTGTTTTCTATGTTTTTCTCTTCCTGTGTGTGTGTGTGTGTGTGTGTGTGTGTATATACGT